GGACGGCAGCGCTCCACACCCGGCCCTGCCCTGGTGCCCGGGTGTTTGGGAGCAGCTCCCGTGCGTGGGAACGCGGCGCTCCCGGGCCACTCCAGGGGCCGGGCGGAACGCTGCAGATAAGGATGAAAGTGCCGGCAGCGGAGCGGGGTCGCGGTGGCCGGTGGCCGCCTGCCCTGCCCGCCGTGCCAGCCCTGCCCAGCCCCGATTGCTCCCGCTGCCGGTGCCAAGCTGGCAGGAGAAGGAGCTGCTGGTGCTGGGAACACCGAAGGGGGAAAAGTTTGCACAGTGGGAGAGAGGGAGCAGGAAGAAGAGGGTGGGGAGGGGGGACAGGGACAATGACAACCACGGCTTGAGGCAGCTCTGCGGTGTGAACACCGGGTGTGAGGTGCCCCTCAGGTGGCTGCCTGCGGCTGGGAACTGTTGGGGGCATTTGGGGTGCTCCGATGACCCTCAGCCGCCCCAAGCAATGGCAGATGGGGGAGGGGCATCCCCCAGCCACTGCCTTTTCCCATGTAATAAAGAGAAAGAATTCAGGCATTGGAACTGGCTGCCCAGGCAAGTGTGGAGTCCCTGGAAGTGTTCAAAAATCATGTAGATGTGGCACTTAGGGACATGATTCAGTAGTGGCCTTGGCAGTGCTGGGGGAACAGTTGGACTTGGTGGTTTTAGAGGGATCTTTTAACCTAAATGATTCTATAATTCTATGATTCCATAATTCGGGGAGGTCTCTGCTCAGCTGAATGCTGCAGTGATGACTTAGAGTGTGACTGCTTTGCAGACAGCATTCCCCTCCAATCTTTTCGTCTTGGGTGTTTGTACCCACTCGCTGGGCCCTGGCTGGCCCTGGGACAGGAGGAAATGAGCTGAGAACCAGGGCACGGGTGAAGCTGTCTGGGTAAAGGAGCAGGAATCAGCAGCATTGCTGTTAAAAATAGGCACACGTGAACAGAGTGACACTCTGTGACTGTACCACTGGGACCCACCGAGCTGGGAGAGGGCACCCTGCTCCCTGCCTTGGTGACTTTGCTCCTGGCAACATCCAAAACTCAGCTTTGGCTTCCCAGGGCACCTGGAGCAAGTCCCTGCTGTGGGTCTGGCCCCCAACAGGGGACTGCAGTAGAAGTTCTTACTTCTCCCACTGGGCTGCAGTGGGAGATGCCTGGATTTGGTGCCTGTCTGCAGAGCCACCCAGCTCATTCCACACACACCAGAGGAGCTGGAGCTCATCTGCCTGGGGTGACCAAGCAGCCACCAGACCACAGCAAAGCTTCCCTGCTCACACTCATCTCCTTAGCAGCTCACAGCAAAGCTCATTACGGGGCTTGGAGGCAGGAGCCGGCCCAGCTTAGCAAGTTGTTGTCCCTCAGCAGAGCCACCCGTGTGCTTGGTGACGTGGATGATGCAGGTCAGCTGGGTGTGGGGATGGCACGTGCCTTCCCGCCGAGCATGGCCTGGCTGAGTGCTCGTCCTCTCCTGGTTTGCCTTCCCATGTCATGATGGATCCTGCTGTGATCACCACAGGAATGGCAGGGTGGAGGTCTCGCCCTGGGTTGTGCCAGCCCAGACCCCTGGCCCTGTGTCAGATGATGCCAGCGGCCAGCCAAGTACTCACAGGTGACGTGGGGCTGGGGAGGATCTGGGACAGTCAGTGCCTGTGGTGACACGCCAGAGCCTCGTGGCAGCCCGGGCTGAGCCACCCGTCCACACCCCTGCTCGAGCCTGGGTTTGATCCTCCCCAATTACAGCTCTCCCCATGACCTTCCCTGTTGCCTCACACAGTGCGCCTCCGTGCCTGTCTTTGAAGGAAGCTGAGCCCTTAGATCAAAACAAAAATATTGCCAAAGAAACTATTTACAGGCTCCTCATGGCTCCTAGAACAAAAGATTGGAGATGTTGCAATGAGGTGCAGTGGCATCACAGTGACTCAGCTCACACCCAAGACCAGGAGTGTGCAGGAGACTGAGCAGAGACACAGGAGAAATCCACGGGACACTGCCTCAAAGGGGCAGTGGGGATCAGGCACTGAGGAATCAGGCAGTGAGGAATGAGGTAGCAGGGATCAAACAGCAAACTTGCCTGGGGGCTGCCCCTCTCTGAGCTCTCCCATCAGCCCCTGGAAGGAAGAACAAGCCCCTATGCCAAGCCTGCCATCTCCATTCATGCTGCTGGCATCTGTGTCTCTGAGATCACAGCTCAATCTCTTCTCTACCACCTTCCCTTGGTGGCTGTTGTCACTCTTATCTTCCATGGTGTTATTCCCAAGGGGCAGCCCCAGTGGGGACATCCATCCTGCTGTTTCAGACTGTCTGGGTCCAGAAACCCCAGTCCTGCCCATCCCATACCCGGCTTCAGGGTTTAACCTGTTTAAAAGGTGCTGGCTGGCTCAGGAAATGATCTCATCTGTCCATCGAGCCAATTCCTTCCCTTCCCCATCCAGAATACACCCAAAATGCAGGCTGCCCCCAAGCTGTGGGGGGATGTGTTGGTGAGTCCCCAGGGCAGCCATGCCAGCATGGACCCAGCACGGGGTGCACTGGCTCCTCATCTCTCAGCCAGCAGCCAAATGCAGATGTTGGAAGAGGAACTTTGCTAAACAATTCCTCCTTCACTTCCTCTGCTCTCCCCATGGCCCTGCCACCCTGGGCAGTATCTGGGCAAGCACTTTGGCCGGGGTTCACTACTAGCCTTGTGCCACCACCTCTGGGTTGCTCCTTGCCCTCTATCCCAGCCTCCTGCTGCTCCCTGTGAGGGACGAGGGAGTGTGAGCAGGGCACACAGCCCCTGATACCCAGTGGCACCTTCCTTGGATGTAGCTGCTGGCTTGGGGTCATGCAGAGAGAGTTTCCCTGGATATCATGTCCCATGAGCTGCAAGCCAGGAACAAACACATTGACTTCTGCTGAGAGCATTTCCCATCTTCTCCTAGTTTCTTCCCACTCTAACATTGCTGCAGTGCTGGATGGTGCAATCCTGGGACTGGCATTTTTTACCTTTAAGTAGCACGACCCAGGAGGGAAATGCCAGGATGGTGGTTCTGATGAAAGTGGAGGAACAAATCCAGTACCTTCTGCTACTCCAGACTGGCCAAGGACCAGATATCTCGGGCTCCCTTCCCCCAAGGCTGGATTCCCTCTTCCCTTGCCCCTCAAGGCATGCCAGCCTGCAGTCCCCCAGCCTAGGCCACCAGGTTGTGGCAGAGTCTCCTGGTGTGTCACTTTGCTCTGGAAGTGGCCGGTAAGATGTGCAGGAAAACAGACTCCCCTTGCAGTGCTCAGACAAAGGAACATTTCCATGGGCTGGGAAGGATGACACGTGAGGAAGCTCTTCAGAATTGCTGCTGCTCTTCCCCATCCCTTCTCTCCTTGCAGTGGGATTTCCCTGGCAGAGCTCTGCAGAGAGCTGGCATGGTTTCTGCCCACATCAGCCTCCAGCAAAGTGTTCCCAGGATGTCCCTGCTCTGCCCCTGTGCCCTTGACAGGCCCTGGTGCACCACCAGCATGGAGGAGATGTGGCTGGAAACTTCTGCTACCACTGTTTCTGTGCCAGAGCATCCCACTGTGGTCAGAGTGGTGGTGGATGGAGCTGGGGAAGCAGCATGGCTTGGGACACACAGACAGGCTCTGCCTGCACGGCCCAAGAACAGCTCACTCGTCCCTCCAGAGACAGCTGGTGTCCCCAGGGCCACTTGTGTGCCAACTGCCAGGACCTCTAGCAGCTGCTGGGTCAAAACTGGCAGTTTGGAGCTGAAAGGCTCCCGAGGTCTCTCCAGGACTGTAGCATGGCTGCCCAAGTGGCATCACTTCACTTCGGGATGCAAGAGGTGTGTAAGTGCAAAGGAACAGCCTGGTTTCATTAAGAGGTTGAAGAAATGGCAGCTTGGGGCCCTCTGTCAAGATCAGAGATCTCTGCCAGCACCTAAATCCAAGGGGCTGCTGGCAGTGTGCTGGGAAGCCAGGAGTGAGATAAGGGAGATATAACTGAGCTGGCACCAAGAGAACCCCTGCAGGGAGGAGGTGGGATCTTTGTTGCCACCCCAGCTGCATGCACTTTCCTGGAGGGCACAGCAGCACAGACCAGGAATGGACCCAATGATCCTTGTGGGTCCCTTCCAACTCAGGTTATTCTGTGATTCTCTGAGACCACCCTCAGCACACAAAGGCCACAGGGAGGTGGGTCTGTCCCTAAAAAAAAATTATGTTTCCCTCTTCCAAGACCAAGGGAGAGTTAAAAATTCCCCTAACCCACTGCTGTAGAGGAAGCTGGAGCAGGGCAGGCAGTGCTGCTGCTCAGTGAGGCTGGGCAGGTTGCTGCCTACAGGGATTGGATTTTGGCTTAGAAATAAACTGGAGGAACTTTGGAGATAGAGGGAGCATCTCCAGGAAAGATGAGCTCTGGCTAAAGAACAACAGACCTGGGGTATCAGCCCTTGAAATGAGGCCATCATAGGGAGCAGTGAAGGAGGGTGGTGAGGGGAGTAGAGCTAAATCCTTCTCTGTGAGGGTGGGCAGGCCCTGGCACAGGTTGCCCGGAGCAGCTGTGGCTGCCCCTGGATCCCTGGAAGTGTCCAAGGCCAGGTTGGATGGGGCTTGGAGCAACCCGGGCTGGTGGAAAGTGTCCCTGCCCTAGAACAAGATGAACTTTGAGGTCCCTTCCAACCCAGATCAGTTTGGTATTCTGTGATTCAATGAAATACAGAGGAAAATACTTGCAAACAACAGAGAGACACTGTCTAGCCTGTGTGGATGTGTGGCTCCTACAAAACAGATCCTAATGCAATAAATACCATGGTGAATCAGCAGGAGGATGGTTTAACAGGAAAGCAAGGTAGTCAAAACACAAGTAAGTAGTAAAACTAAAATAGAGTAAAACAAAAATTCTGCAAAAAACTAGCATTATCTATTTCAAACCAGGAAAACGGCAAAAGATGCAAATTCCCCACAAAGCTAAAAACAGCATTAACTGAGATGAAAATACATTTTGAGTGTAATTGGTTTACTACATAAGGATTAACAGCAGTGTATTTTTGCAAATGAATCAGAAGTGGGAATTCTGCTGGTGAACTACTGGGCTGGCAAGTGCTCAGGGCAGACTCTGCAGCAGGACACAGGCAGCAGGTCCCTGACCCTCCCAGCAGCAGAGGGGAAGTGGCAAAGGCCAGGCTGATTTCCAGGAAGGGCTCCACAGGATCCAGGAAACACTGGACTCTTAAACCTGGCTTTGGTACCGGTCAGATATGCTGGAAGATGGAAGAAAAAATTGCATTAGGACATGTATGAAAGAACATGCAGCACTGAGGCAACATCGAGTGCGGGTTGGAGGAGGGAACTCTTGCTAGAATGACATGGAATATGTAAATATGAACAGCAATTTTTGCAAAACTTGGACAAAATCTCTCTCCAAAAGCTCTTCAGGACATTAAGGTGTATTAACTGCAGGGGACAGGCTGGGTGCGTGCCACAGCCTGGCAGGGAAGAGGCCTGTAGGGGGTCACTGAGGGGCAAACAAAGGGAAGAGCATTTTCACTCCCTAGAGCAGAGCCTCAAGGAACAGCACAGGGCTGGAGCTGGCTCAGACCAGCAGGAAGTACCTCCCAAACGGTGCATGAGTACCCTGTGGGAGGCTGTCTCTGCTGTGGGGATCAGCATGGAAATGGATCCAGAGGGAACAAGGGAACATCCAGAGTGTTGGTTTGCTGGGGCTGTGGGAAGTCCAGGATGCTCCCAGGCCACTCCTGGCTGAGGAGGACAAGGACAAGATCCCTGTTGCTGGCTCTGGTTCAGCCTTTGATCAGGCCCAGGTCTCCCCACCCTGGTCTTATCCTGCTGAGACAGTGCTGGCCACCTCTGTTCCGTGGCACTTCCCCAGGGTCCAGAGCCTGGGACTGGCCCCAGGACCAGCCCCAGGAGCTCCCCAGTTCCTCCCCCATTCCTGCATCCCCTGTCCCCCATGCTCTGGGACACCAAAAGGTTGGAGCTCACACGCTTCCCCATGGATTTGAGAGCCTGAAGATTCAAAGCACTAAAGTTTGGCCTTGGGATCTGCTCCATCCTGCTCTCCAGAAGCTCTCCAGGAACCAGACCCCTTTGCAGCCCAAAATCCAGGCTGGTTTTCAATGCCCAAGGCAGGAATGAGGGAGCAAATTCCTGCTGAGACAAGCTGGGAGGTGCAATGCCACGGACAGAATTCCCTATTGAGTGACTGCAGGCACCCAGCTCACCCTGCTGATGCAAATTACCAAGTTATGAAATAGAGAAAATTGTTAATTATTTCCCTTTTCATCCATTTATTATGGCTTTCTTCTTTATTGCTAATTATTAGTTTCAATTCACAACTGAAGTAGGGTGGGGGTTTCTGTACTTTGGTGTCGGCTTGGTGACTCTTGAAATAGATCCTAAGGAATTGCCTTTTACCACAATTTTCTATCTGCCTTTCCCCATCACTGTTTTTTTCTCAGTTTTTCTTGTCTTTGTGGGGTTTGACTTTTTAAAGCTCCCTGTATTTCTGTTTACTGAATGGATTCTTCTCTGCCCAAATTAAATGTAATCAGGTCGTGATCACTGTTCCCTAGGCAACCATCAACGAAATTATAGAGCCATGATCATGATCATGAATTAACAGCTTTGAAAAGTTAAAAAGAGATGAAATGCTAACTGCAAGGGTTAATAAATCTGCTGGACCAAGGCATTCACAGCTGAGCCCCTGGTCACTGCAGAGAGCTTTGGGACAATGATCTTGGTTCAAGACTTAGGGAAAAACAAAACACCACCCATCAGCTTGTAGGGATAAATTCAAACCAACGTGATGAAGGGCCGCTTCTTTGCTGTCAAGATTCTGAGGGGGTGCTTTGGTTAACAAAGGAATTGCATCCATACCTGCATGGGATGTGGGAATAAGTGGAACTGAAGAGGCTGTGCAGGGGGGTGGCAGTGAAGTGAGGCAGTTCAGCACAGCCCTGTTCCACCTGCGATGTCAGAGGAAAGAAAAGAGTGACATGGTGGGGAGGAAAGGGAGAACCCCTCCAGCCTGTCCTGTTGCTCCTGACAGTGTCCAGTTGCTTCAAAAAAAAACCCAAGAAACAGGCTGCAGAAACCAATTTGAACATGTGTTAAGCTTCCCAGAGTCATTTGGCAGACTTGTGCCTTTGCTGGGACTGTTTTGTGTGCTTAGTGAATGTTGGGAAAACAACTGGGAGTAGCTGGGAAGGGGCAACCGGCACATGGCAGGACGAGGTCTGTGCAGGACACCCCATCTGGAGATGCCTCTTCCAAGCCCTGGAGCTCCATGGCAGGCTCAGTAAGGGGGTTGTTATAAATTGGTATAAGAATTTAGACAACTCAATTCCAACTAAACATTGATATATTTATTAAGCAAGCTATAATAAAGCAAAAAACAGCGCTGGGTGGTCTGGGGAGCCAGTCTGCTCCACCCGAGACACACACATAAATGTAGCAAATGTTTCTTTTTATATATTTTCAAGTCCCGAGTTTTGAATGCAAATGCGTTGTGGCTGCGAGTGTATGGCTCGTTGTTATTTGCCTTCTGGAGTTTGTCAGGGATGAAAGCCATAGTTCTTATCAGTTGTAAATTCCACTGATATTGACACTTGTTTGTTTAGCAAGATGTCTGTAATTAATTTTACTGACACTTGCTTGATTAACAGGATGTCTATGAAACTTATCTTGTTGAATTATAACAAAAGTTTCTTATTCCCTCATACACATAAGATTTTATGAAAAAGTTAACTCTTCTATTACAGGGGTCACACCCCAGGTGTTATTTCTTGCTGCCTTCCACCCTTCTCACTCCTGATTCCCACTAAGCTTTGGTGGGAGTGGCTGCTCCACCCAGCTCCTCATGGCACAAGCTTCCTTCCAGATCCCCTTTGCTCCTGCTCACACCCCAGGCTGTGGTGTTCATGGCTCGCTGGGACAGGCCTTTGAAAGCAACCTGGTTATATGTGAGGTGTTCTGTGGGAGAGGAAACTCCAGGTCCCCACTGACTCCTGCTGCCCTTGGCCGTGGGGGCTCCCCAGGCAAACCCTGGCCTCAGCCAACCTGAAAGGAAAAGTCCTCTTTTATAGAAATACATTGGTGTCTGATTGAGTTTATGGGTGTAGAATGTACACAGGGGATGGGACACACAGATGCAAACACTGAATACAGCACTCATCCCAGCCCTGTGCCCCACATTAACTCCCACACCCATCAGTGAGCTCCTGTCCCACAGTCCCAAGGCTGTTTCTAAGCAGCGTTCTGGTGTCCTTGCTGAAGTAAGGAGCAAACATTGGGCCTGGAAGGCAGTGCTGGGGGCATGGCAGGAGGGGACCCCCAAGGCTCCTTCCCTGGCTCTGGCCCAGGGTGGCCTGACCTGCCCAGCCCAGCGGGGAGAGCCCACGGGCTGTGGAACTGCCTAGAGCACCAGAGTCCCTTCACTGCCCCAGAGTCCCCTCAGAGCCTCCTGTGGCCCCTCAGAGCACCCTCGGAGCCACATGGCCCCCTCAAAGCCTAGTGTCCCCTCAGAGCCCCGATGTCCCCAAAGAGCCCCAGGTATCCCTTAATAGCTCCCGTGTCCCCTTACAGCCACCATGTCCCCTCACAGGCCCAGTGTCCCACGAAAGCTTGGTGTCCCCTCACTCCCCGGTGTTCCCTCACTCCCCGGTGTCCCCTCACTTCCCGGTGTCCCCTCACTCCCCGGTGTCCCCTCACTCCCCGGTGTTCCCTCACTCCCCGGTGTCCCCTCACACCCTGGTGTTCCCTCACTCCCCGGTGTCCCCTCACTCCCCAGTGTCCCCTCACACCCCGGTGTCCCCTCAGAGCCTTGGTGTCCCCTCACTCCCCGGTGTCCCCTCACTCCCCGGTGTCTCCCCCTGCGGGCCGCTCCCGGCGCATGCGCAGTTGTTGTCGCGGCGGGCGGGCCCGGGCCATGTCGGGGCGGGGGCGGCGGGTCCGCGGGCGGCGCGGGCCGGGCAGCGGGACACGGACCCCGACACGGACCCCGACACGGACCCCGACCCCGGAGCGGCCGCGGGCGGGGCCGGTCGGCGGCTCCCCGAGGTGCGGCGCGGGGCGGCGGCGGGGGGCGCTGGGGGGGCGGTGGCGGGGGGCGCGGGGCGGTAACGCTGTCCGTGTCCCGCAGGCCCGGCCGGTTCTGCCCGCAGTGCGGGCGCGCCGTGGAGCCCGCGTTCCGCTTCTGCCCGGCCTGCGGCGGGAGGCTGCCCGAGCTGCCCGAGGAGGAGCGCGCCGAGCCCGCCCCCCCGGCCCCGCCGGCCGCCCCCAGCCCCGCCGCGTCCTCCCCGCGGGCGGCCCGGCCCGGGCCCCGCTCGCCCCGCAAGCCCCGGCCCGGCCCGGCCGCGCCGCTCCCCGCGGACACGGTGCTGGCGGACCAGGGCGGGCGGCGCTGGCGGCTGCTGCGGCTGCTGGAGCAGGGCGGCTGCGGGCTGGTGTACGAAGGTGCTGTGGGGCCCGGGGAGGGGGGGCCTGTGTCCGGCTGTGGGTTCGGGCGGGGGGGGCTGTCGGGACGTCCCTAAACCCCCAGAACCGTAGAGGGGGTGGCACTGGGGTGACACTGAGTGTCTGCCGGGCTGGCAGTGACCCACAGGCCGGCAGGGTCCAGCATTCACAGAATATGCCGAGCTGGAGGGGACCCCCAAGGACCGTCCAGTCCAACTCCTGGCCCTGCACAGACACCTCAGCAATCCCACCCTATCCATGAGAGCATTGTCCAAAACCTCCTGGAGCTCTGGCAGCCTTGGGGCTGTGCCCACTGCCCCGGGGAGCCTGTTCAGTGCCAACCACCCTCTGGGGAAAGAACCTTTTGCTGAGATCCAACCTGAGCCTGCCCTGACACAGCTTCATGCCAATTCCCTGCTGGGCATCCACCGTCAGTGATTCTGCCACTGATAACAAGACTGAGCCAAGGCTCGGCTGCTCTGTTATGAGGAAATGCCTGTCATTAGGGGCCACATTTCCTCTTTCTGTTTTTTGAGGTCCAAAACCTAATTGCTGGCAACACTGTGCCCGAGTTCGGTGTTATAGGTGGTGTCAGTATCCACTAAATGTCAGTTCTGTATTCTCAGCCTATTTTGGGGGCTAAAAGAAAGCAGCTATAATCATGTGGACTGCTACTCAGTCATTTAGTGACTGCTGATCCTTTCTCTCCAATCTAGTTGTAAACTTCTGAAGGGGAGTTTTTGATCTTATTCTTTGTTGTTAACTTGGAAACTGTACAGGGAGAGTTTTTTTCCATTACCAAGTTTTGCTGGATATTTGGCTTTACTTTCATTACTTAACCTGTTGCATAACAAAGTCTGAGCATCCATCTATGTTTTTAAAAGGATGTGATAAAAGTGAAAATCGATAGTGGAGGGTGCTTTTATAGATATAAGTTTTGGGTGACCTGTGTCTTGGTCTAAGAACAGGAGAAGAGGATCTGCCCCCAGGCCAAGTCATGGGTGCAAATCCTTTTGGAGAAGCGAGGCCACAGACAACTCCAACATCCATACAGAGCAGAGGGACTTTGGCATCTCTTATAGACTTGTCAAACCACAGAGTGAGCTGGAGGGAATGCTCAGCAAATGAATTTGGGGGTGCCTTTGAGATTCCACTAATGATCTGTCCTTTACGTACCCCTCAAAGCCCCCCACTACTGTAGCCATGCCCAGATGCTTCTGTGACTTAAGCAGAACTGCACTCGCAGCATGTCAGGGTGCTGAGCTCCTGGAGCAAGGTAAGAATGATTTTGTAGTGATCTGGGAAGGCACTGTCACAGAGGATGCTTTGTAAAGCCCAAGGGAAAGAAGCAGAGGATGAGTAAATCCAGCTGCACAGGCTGCATTTAATGATGCAGAACCTCTTTTCCGTGCTCCTGTAACCACATCTGTTCCATCCTTCCACAGCGCAGTCAGCATCTGGAACCTGCCCTCAAAAGCAAAGCTACTCCCTCAAACTTGTGAGTTTTGATCTGTTTGGGTAAGGAATAGTGCATACAGTGCTGTGTCCTGACCTGTTTGGCTGGGAGTGTCCCAGGAATTCAGAGGGAGTGGTCACACAGGCCCCTTCCAGCTTAGGGATGGATAAAATCTCCTGAGGGTGCTGTGCTTGGAGTTCAGTACAGGTTTGCCCTTCCACTAAAGATGTTAAGGAAATAGATACGAGGATCAAAATAACCCAACAGACAGTTGCTGCCTTGATCTGCCAGGCTCAGTAACCTCCAGAACGGAATTGGGTGGTGTGAGGTGAAGATCTTGACTCAGGAACGTCAGACCAGCTTTTCTTCTGTAGGGCTGAGGTTTGGGGAGACTGGAGAGGTTGGAACTTGGTGCTGTGCTGACAAGCCAGCATGGAGGGCACTCCATAAGGCCAGAGCACATTTTTAAATCAAACAGCAATTATAGTTAGAGTTCCAAGCCGACTTTCCAGGCACTTGTCAGTACCTTGGGTTCTCCAGAAATGTGTCATTTCCAGGAATAGCTGTTCTGTGGTGGAAATTCAGGATTGGTTTTCAGTAGCTCACAAACCAGAGCAGAAGGATTGTTTTCTTGTCTGCTGTGGCTCTTGGGCTTTGCTGGTCTGTGAGAGGGCCAGTGCTGATGGATGGTCTGTGGGGCTCTTGCAGGCGCTTCAGTAATCACTCTGCCTTTTGTCAGAGCAGACATGTAAGAGGATGGAGGAGGAATACAGTGTTGATGAGAAAAGGCAGCAAAATGCCACAAAACTAGAATCAGTAGGTGGGACTTCTGCAGGCAGCGCTCCCAACTCCTCTGTTTTGCACTTTTTGACATCTTTTGGCATTTTGCTTGGTAGTCTGCTGATTGCACAGCCCAGCCCTTGTGGTTGCAGAGCTCTGTGGAGTGTGATAAGGCACAGGAGAGCGTTTTAAAGCTCAGGTGGGCTCACCAGGCAAGGTGCAGAAGTGAAATATCCTCTGGGACACGGTTTCTGTGTTGTCTGGAGCTTGCTGATCCTCCAGTTGGGTATCAAACCAGCTAGAATAAAACACTGCTGCTTCCTCCTGTGCATGATAGCAGCTGTCCTGGGTTAGTTTGTGTGTTAAATATCTACATGTGTGTAGGCACACACAGGCATACTGAGTATAAACTGTGTGCATCTGGGGTCACTCAATGGTACCAATATCTTAAATATGACAGATACAGACATTTTTACTTGTCTCACTTTCTGGCAGCTAGAGTGAAGTGTTACAGCTCTGTTGAGATTTGCCTGCTTGCAGAAATGCCCTCATCCCTGCAGTGACTAGAAGGTCACCTCTGGCTCCCTTTAATGTAACAGCTTTGGGACTGGAGCTCACTCCAGGCTGCCAGATGGGCTGCAGTGCCTGGCTGTCCTTCACCCACAGACAGCTGTAAATGGCACTGCTGGAAGGGCCCCACCCGAGACGGCCACTCCCCTGTTCTGTGCTGATGCTCAGAGTTTATGTGGTTGTTGGGGGCAGCACTGAAGAGTGAACCAAAACACCTGAGCTCTCTTAATCTTTTTAGGGGGCACATCGCTCTCTTTAAAATGGTTAGTGAAGGGCCTGTAGCAATCTTGCCCAAGTTGCCCTTTTCAAGAGGGTGTGTGTGGCTGAAATAATGTTCCTCCTTCCTGTTCCCTTTAGGATGCCAAAGATGGGAGGATATACAACGAACAGAATTTCTTCCAGCGAGCTGCCAAAGCAGGCACAGGTTGGTGCTTCTCAGGAGGGCAAGGACTAAGGACAACTGGCATCCCTCTCTCACGAGTTCCATGAGTCTCTCAGAAGGCCAGGACAGGATAAACTCATTCCCTGCTCAGTCAGTCCTGGGGAATTTAGCCCAGAGCCAGCTCTCCCAGCAGTGTGTGCTGCAGGACACTGCAGTATTGGCATTTTGAAGCCTTCTTGCTCTACCCACTCTGTCTTGATGTCCCTGGGAGCTTTCCTGCCCTGCAGCCTCACCCACCTTGGCTCCCCTTCTCTCCTGTGCTCCTTCCATGGGCAGTTCTGTTAGCTGCTCTGACAGAACTCCATTGACCCCAAAACCTGAGCAAGAGCAAAGCTGCCCAGAGAATGTGGGTGAGGGTGGTTGGAGGAATTCATGTCAAACCTGCACTTCTGGGAGGACTGTAAAAATCTGCTTCTCCATCCCCCTCTTCTCTGCTTGTTTTCCCTAGCCCTGTGGCAACCCCTTTGCCGGTGCTGGTATTCCCAGTATCCTCCCTGGGGTGGGAGGGAGCCCATTCTTGCTCTGCAGTTCCATTCATGCTCTGAAGTGCTGTGCACATTGACATACCCCCACACATCAGGCTGGAATTCTGGGGGACAGAATCAGGATGAGAGAGGTTTCCAGCTGTCAGGTGCCCAGGCCAGAGCAGACCTTCAGAGGGCTCTGAGCTCTTTCCTCCTGGAGCTCCTCAGCAGCTTCTGCTGCCCTGTGTGTTTTTCTCTCCCTCTGCAGTGGAGAAGTGGAAGAAGTGGCACTCTGTGCCTTTGCTGGGCATTCCCAATTGTGTTGGCTTTGGACTGCATGGAGACAGCTACAGGTGAGGGGACTTTGAGCTCTTGGGCCATCTTTGTGAGCGTTCCCTCTCCTCCCCTTGCTTCTCTTAGTCCTTTTGT